AAGCAGGCAGTGGAGCTATTAGAGCATGTGGTCACGGTGCATCGGAGAACCTTAGCTGAAGACCACCCCTCTCGCCTAGCGTCTCAGCGTGCACTCGCTGCTTGTCCAGATGTCTCCGACATCGGTCATTCCCAACTTCTCTTTTAGACTAAGCATTTCCCGCCCTTAATTAGAGTGTTTTTCGCTCTTTGGAGCGTCATCTTTTGTACATTTGACCAAAGGATGCAGCGCAATGACGGCCTCGCTCAACATCTACCATCCGATAGGCCGCCCAACACTCCATCATAATTATTCCATTCCAGTCTGAAGGCTACTGTCCGGCCGGGCTCTGGATGGTCACTCGTTGGTAAGCCCTTATTTATCGTCCTAAATAAGTGGTATGCCCTCTATTGCTACTTGAAAGACCTGGTGGTGGCGCTGACTGACTTTTCTGTCTACAAGACAAGCACCGACCGCCGTTGCCATAAAACGTACCCCTTTGAACAGGAGTGTCTCGCCACTGATATCTTGATCGAGGAGGTTGGCTGGCATGTTACTGATTGTGGGCCAACGCGTGGACACTGTACCCGTAAACGGAGAGGTTCAGCAGGCTCTGGCCACGTCTTCCAAAGCGGCGTTATCCTGGGAATGGTTAGGAGATCGAATAAATGTTTCAACCCAGCTTTCTTGATTTGTCGCCTAGGGAGTCGTGATATCCTAGATACCTATCTTTGGGGGAGGGCTAAACGGCGTGCAAGGAGCCACATCTGGTTTGTGTAACAAGATTGCACAGGAGTCTGACCAGGAGGGACGGTACGCATAATTCAATACAATACTTCATACGTGCTATGTACAACAAAGTTACGACTGCAGTGGGTAGCTCAATAATATATTCAAACCAAGCACTTGGCAGTGGGGCCAGAAAACAACCGTCACGTGTCCCAAGGTCAGACCGATTTCGGGAATCACTGTATTCGTAAACGGATACCTCACAGAATGCACCAAATTAACAAGACTCGTTGTATAGTTTGTCCCGAAACCAGTTCCACTAATGCCAAGCCCACTGAGCGATGATAAGTGTCGCCTCCAGATTCTCAATTAATTACTCCTTTGGTCCTTTAGGAAACTTTCCATTCGGCCCACCATGCTCATTCTCGAACCGCTGAGCTTCACTTCCTGCGAACCTTCGTGACACTGCACAGCGATGGTCATCAGGTATAAGCCCGTATCCTTAAAACCCGGCAGTCTTCGGTCGCCGCTACGGCGGGAGCGGGAGGGCGTCATCTTCAGAATACTACCCCATATAATAACGGTCGTATGTAATGAGACAGAAAGGCTCGTCTGACGCTATTTGTGCAGGTCTTCATAGCATCCCCGGACGCTGATGTCCTGCTGGTTTTGGGCAGCGACATCTTGGGTTCTCGAAGACCGATGGTCAAAACAGAGCGAACCATTCTAGAGACTGGGTATACGACAGTATCCGCATGGAGACGGCCGACGCTCCCTCATGCTCCGATTGAGCGTGAAGTAGTATGACAAGTCATCGTTGTGGTTGCTGGGTGTTGTTTTCGGGCCGCCACTTGCCTCACTCAGATGTGTTTACTGGGACCAAGGGAAGACATGAAATCGACACCCAAACAAAGGATATGTCTAAGGTTTGCCAGCTCCCCTTCGTCTGGATGACGGGGGTTCGTAATCCTTGTCGGATGCAGCAGTACGTTCCTCCGCTTGCGCTTCCTGGCGGCGACGTTTTGCTTCATCGTCGGACCTCAATTGCTCAGCCGGAGATGATGACCTCTTCCGCTTCCTGATCTGCCGCTTCGACTCAATGCCGCGTAAACCGGCAGCTGACTCTCGTGCTCGGTGGATCTGCTCCGCGCGGTTGAGAAGGGTGATAAGAGTTTCGTAGCTTATGGATAGCTCTTTCCCCTCATACCCGTTGGATATTTCATCAGGGCCAAAATCACTGAGGTTGAGGCGGACACAGCTGCTCTTGTTTGCGGGACGACCATCTTGCGTTCGGAATGCCTGGCAAATTCTAGCGCAATCCTTCCGGTAGGGCAGATGACCTCTTACCTCGGATTCAATGACTTGGTGAACTTCCAGGATATCAAGATCCTCGCCCTCTTCCCGCACATAAGCCTGGCGCCACAAGGATACAGTAGACTCTTTCCCGTCATATTTGACATCTATGCCAATAACGACCTTGATATTTCCGTTTGAATTCATGATATATTCCCAGGCCAACTTCCTCAAGTTTCCGTTCTGTGAATATGAGACCTCAACAACTACACCAGGATATGCTGCCAAACAATGCTGGAATTGAGCATCCGGTTGACGTTGTAGACATATTTTTGAGTCCACTGATTGCCCGTCCTCGGAGTTATCCACACGCAGAAGAATTCGAGAAGACTGCCCATTTGTAATTAGCGCTGCAAATTCGCTGGCAGGCCCTCCTTCGTCTATAATAGTCTGAAGTTGCTTGCTTATTTCACCAGCGACGGAGGCCACAAAAAAGTCATGTACCGGACTTGGCATACGAATTTGGAGCTGCTCAGATTCTGGGTCGTAATCCCAGCTAAATATCTTAGCTGCAAAAAGTGAACAATCAAACTGGAGCACCTTACCGCACTTCGTAGTTAACGAAATTGTGGAGTAGCTGGTCGTCTTCAAGTCGAGAAAGCAATTCCAAAAATTGCTCGCGTTGCAACTTAATCCTGGGAAAGCCTGAGATCCTTGGACCAGAACAGCGTATGCCGTTGAATATCCTCAGGACACGCTCAACGACTAACGTGTCGGATGCTTGACGTTCTGCGGTTGGCGGAGGCGTCAGAGGAAAGTTGTGCCGTTCTGGGGGAGTGCTCTCATCTGCATTCAAATTGCACGGTGCCTGGGAATCCCAATGTGTATGGATGGCCACTGGTTTTGCCATGCTGGCTGGGAGTTTTGGCAAGAAAACGAGGAGTGTTTGTTATGCAGCTTCCCGTCTCAAGCCATATGCAGCGCGGAACGGAAAAATACTTGTGCCGGTAGTCGTCAGGTGCCTAGTAAAGCCCCCAGCAAGGCAGGCGCCTCCACGCAATGTTGGGGAAAAATACTCTTGCAGAATCCTTTTGCAATAAGAGGCTAATGCCCAGAAGAGTGTGGAAAAACTGGAAATGATGTCTCGGAGGTATAGCTCGCCCATCCTACGCAACAATGCATATGTTGCACCAGTATGGGAGACGAGCAAGTTAGTCGGCGAGAAACCGCCCAAACTTGGCAGCGATTCATGGACAATTCTTCAACAACCGAGATCGATTTCCAATTTTTGAAAAGTCCAGAGCTAGATCAGCCCGTGGGTTGCGACTCCGCAGTGAACCGACTTCCCGGCCACGGCACTACATTGGCCACTGGGTGGACCTGCCTGATCACCCAGAAGCCCAGCTAGTCTTGTGGAACTTGTACGGCTAGCGCCGTTTGAATGACGGACTTAGCGGATTCGCGGCCAACGTTCAACCACTATGGGGTTCAGCCACCCATGAACACTCGATGAGCAGCGAGCTCTACAAGACAATTCCGCACCCGTGATTCACCGAGCATTGCATACTCGGGCATCAGCGACATAGTTCAACCACCCGTTCTTGATATGCCGATAGCACAGTCTTGCTCGGATTGTTGAAATACCCAGATATCGGAGGCTCTGATCGAATGTGTATGTTTCAGAGCCGCAGTGCGCTCTCATCGTGCCAAGTGCTCAGCCGATGGGGTTTAATCATCCTTGGGTAAGCGTTTCGCATCGACCTCAAAATGCTTAACTACTCTGACGCCGACAACTCCACCAGCAAGCTTGCTCTAACTGGATGCCGTGGCCCATGGACATGGTCCAACCATCCTCCTTCCACCAACATGTATGTTCCACTCACATCCTACCTGTTTTTCGCGCTGACACATCGGCTCAACCAATAACTACTCCTTAAGCTGTTACGCGCGATGCGGTTAGGGCGACGAACACTCACATGAGCGACCTTGTCGAGGAGCAGTAAGTAGCTTTCAGTGTTTTCCTACGTGCATTCTACGCGTACACTGTACCATTCCACAGTCTACATTCCCCACTGAAGAGGGGAAGAAGCTCATCACGTTTAGCGTATTCTACAACTAGGCACTACCAGCTTCCATTCAACAGCCGATTCATTGGGGGCTCGTGCGATTTATCCGACGATATCCGGAATTTCTCAACGTGGTTTTCATGCTCTTTCTATTTGACCTTTAATTGTCGGAAAACTTAATTTGCAGCTGGGTGGTCATAGAATCATGCTCTAAATAATCCAAGCTTCTCTAACATTTGGCACGAATGTACCCCTGCGACTCATGGTATTTCTGGCGTGCATCAAGAAATATTTTTTCCGACTAATATAAGTAGTCGCCATATTGCGCCTCTTGCTCCGTAGGACCGTTCATTTTGCTCCCTAAAACATACTGGCTAATGTAATATGGTCGATACAATGAGGGAAAGCCACAGGATGGAATTTTGGAAACCGATAAGGCTACCCCTCGAAATGTCACCCTGTAGGAGTCTATGCCTGGAGGACTCGTCCTGGATGGTTTCAATCGCAAGGGTGTGAAGATATGGAAGGCCTAGCTTTACATCTATATGCGTCCTTTAGTCACAGGTGATACTGTAACACGACGATGAGCTCCAGCAAAATTTTGCCCGCGGTGTTGGAGAGCTCGAGCAGTTCGTTTGCTAGTCAGTATCTTTTCGCAGGTGGGCGATATCTTGCATCGGTTATGCTTGTAGAACGGCCGTCCTTGACGTGCTGTGTTTACTGTGCTGGCCGATATCCGGAAAAGGAGGTTGGTGGGGAGAATCTTTCTGTCGCGTCAGAGTCAGCGGCAAAATGTTTCCATATTGAGAATAAAGATGAGGGAGCGTCATTAAGACGCTCCAGTAGAATGGTACAAGCCTGCCACAGGTATGAAGAGCTCGTGCCAGTGGCATTGACAGATCACGAGACAGCCATGGAAGGAGGAAGTTTGAGCTAGAGAAGTAGGACTTTAAAAAAAATGGGAAGAGTCTCTCCCTGGTCAGGGGGATCTGATGAGAGGTCTGCCATCCACCACGGATAGAAAAACGCTCTGAATGGTGAAATTGTCAAGCCGTTAAAGTGTCTCAATTGAACGAAAGATTAGGCAACCAAATGTGACAAGGTTTCAGGCAGGCAAAAGATACCACGCGTGCATGAAATACGTGTTATGATACCGTGGTAATGTCAATGTGACAACTCTGACCAACGTTATATTACTGACACGTCGTCCCGTTTTGTCAGGCATGTTTCGTGGCGGTGCGGAGGAACGTATCGTCAGAGACCAGTTCGTAAGGTAATGTATTTGGACGTAAGGGCAAACGGCCCTCAAACGAGTCAGGATTAGCGCCACGACTACCAACTACCCTAGCATCGTCAGACATCACATCTGTTCCTGTTATACTTCGTCGGCACAAAATAATGTATAATCTCTTCCAGAAGCTGTTACTATGCATGCGTCTGACGTACCATTCAGCTCAGGAGAGACAAGAATCTGTAGCATGTTTATGCATTACTTTCTCTGGAAGCAGCACTGGATGATTTGATATCGAACTCTCTTGGCGCGGTACTGGCGGCTGAATTTGCAACCAACGTTTCCTAAGAGAAGCTGTGGATCGGTCCGAAAAACGGCTCTGAAAGGCATGCGCCATCTCTTCGACACGCCCTGCATTCCGCATTAGGGCCTTTAGTAACTGGTCCTCTTCCTGGCTGTAATGTCTAGCCTTCCGAGTCGAGACGTGGGGACTTGTAGGCTGCTGGCGAATCTTTGCTGTTTGAGCTCTTGCTTTGGCTCGCGCTAATGCCCAGCTGATGCTAGACCCGGCGCTATCTCACTTGCGCTCGTGCACGCGCCAGAAGAGCCTTGGGTGGTCGGAGGCAGTTCTGCAACCGCCGACAGTTTATCTCTTGCCAATCGTCGCACCGGCTCTTTGCTCAGTGGACTTCGAGGTGACGATGCGGAAAAGATGAGCGAGTTATCGGTCTCGGGAACAGTGTGGTCTTGAGATTCGGTACTGACCAGAGTTGGGACGATATGATTGCTTGTGATCCATCTGAGCCTACCCTGTATTCTGTAACGAGACTATGATGAACAAAGTCCAGGCTAAGACGCTCTGCCCCCTGGCCTTTGAGATGCCCTCATGGAAGTGATGGTGGATCTCGTAGATCTCCCCAACTTTAGGATGTATGCGGTTTAGAGAGCACAAACAGTCACGTGATTTTGCACATGGATGTGAGCTGACCTGCTTTCCAGGATTACTAGGCGGCATGTTGGCGGGATCAGTGAGTAATCCGGGAGTTGCCGGAGTGGTTGGTGCGTGCTCAGGGAGTGCTCAGTGAGTGTTCGAAGAGTTCGGGAGCCCTCCCGGATGCTCTCACGTGCAGCCCTCATAAAAGCGGCGGCATCCGTATCGGGCAATCGAACGGGAATTGCAGAAAAACAGTTCAGTAAGGAACTGCTGTCAAAAGCAGGACTCTGCTGTCATCGGGTATTCAAGGCTACGAAATACGTAACTCCATAAAGGTAATTCTCCAGGGTACAAATGTTACCAAGGAAGCATCATAGAGCAACCCAGGATGTTTTAGGAAGGTATTATATAATTTTCTTCCTAGATGGCGATAGAAAGCAACACGACAAAGCAAATAAAAAAATAGATGCATCCAGTATTGATTACTTGCATTTCGCTCAATATGTCGTGTTCAGGCTTGATAGGCAGCTGCCAGGACTTGCCAGGTTGTCTCTAAAGGCACAGGGTAGTGTAAAGTCTTGCGACCAATTAGTAGAGTCCCAGAAATTACGAAGTGGAAAAATTCAGGAAAGTCCTACCAAGCATTCCTGCGGAAGGGGATCATCGGTTATCCGAGTTAAAAATATAGATCTAGCCATCCTCAGAATTTTCAGCGGCAATAACAGGTAAAAGGATAGAATGAGAGCGACTACTTCGGGCGTAAAGTGTTGGAAGTTTAGGCCTTTTATATATTCTAAGCTCACCCTCCCTGCGCGATCGAAGTCTAAGTAGCAAACGCGAAACACTTCTCAAACACTAAAGTGCATTCCAAAAATAATCTCTATACCTTGTTTAGGCTAGGCGGCGATTGTCTGCAGACAATCTGGGGTGAGGGGATGAACTTAACTCTATCTCTCTCTGAACGTTCGTTTGCAACTACCAACATCCTCACGTCTGAGCTAGAGAAATCAACAGTCACGTGCACGGGGATATCGGAGATTGTTGATAGACAGATGATGTCACAGATAGCGAGGGAACTAGAAATAGGATCGCTTCTATTGGAAATGACGTTTTCTCCTTTACTGTAAGATTCAGCGTTCGAACAGCTGATGGGTAATCTTCGGTTACGATCTCCTACTAACCTTGAGCCTTCACCTTACCATTAGCAATTTCTGTTTCAGGTTAGGTCTTCGGTGTGCTGCGACAACCAGGGGTCTTGGCACAATGGCAACAAATTAGACATTAAACCAGACAGCATCTTTAACTCGTTTGCTTGCTCAATTCTTTTGCTGACCCTCCCAATGTCCACCAAGCTCCAAGTCCTCACACGCGCCTCGTCTCGGTAGCGAGAGTGTTTGCTTTAGTCTGAGTCTATTAACCGACTCATTTTTTTTCCAGCTCTTATTGTTTCCCAACGACTCTTAGTTTGTCATCTTTACCATGGGAGAGTCAGAGTTAGAATTGGGAGGGTGCTCTGAGTTAAGTGGGGTAGTTTTGATTAAAATGATGCAAGAAGCACCTGAGACACCCAGCGCGTCATTAAGGGAGTATATTATCTGACCATATGCTCAACACTTAATTCTTTGAGGTTGAACCAATGCATTTTAGCCTTGCGTGCAATCATTTGGCTAGAGACTATTGGTGCGTCGAGTAGTCTCACCGACAAGCAGGGCGCTAGTTGCGCCATAAAATAATTATGATTTACGACGGGACGTACGCATTCGAGCGGTTGCCTAGACAAGAGAAAAATCGAAATGGTCGTCTGGTCAAAAATGTCTCTCACTTGCTCGACATATACAAGAGGGGAGATCGTATCTAGGTTGAAAGACGATCAAGCCAGTGTTCGACCTTATTCACCCACAATATTCGCAATGAGTAACTCAGACGGTTCACCCTTGCGTTCCTTGTTGCATTCAATGATGATGTGCAAGGCTATCGTTGAACGACGTTCTACCGGCAAGTTATCGACTTTCTGCCAGGCCTCCATATTCTACAATTGCTGGTAATTGCAGACAAGAAACTCACATCAACAGGGGCAATCCCCTCAAGGTCGGACGGTCATAAATAATGAAGCTATCTTGGAGGCTGTCATGGGTTCCAGCTGTGGAAACATCGTCCTTGTGTCCGCCTACAATCAACCTACCATGTCGACGAGGTCCAGTAATACCCAGGGAACATGCCGCCCTACAATATTACCCAGAAAATCTTCCCAACAGAAACGTAGTCGTCGCAAATTGGGCCTCATGAAGAAGGCATTCGAGTATAGTGAGCTGTGTGATGCTGAGGTCTGCGTTGGAATACGACTCAGGGAGTCCGGTCATGTCTTCACATTTCTATCCGACCCAACCGGATTCTGGTCGAAGCTGGACTCATTGCTTGTACGTTACATGAGAGCCCGACTGTCAGTAGTACATACTAACGAAGCGGCAAGGCGACATACTACCCACCGCCGGTTCGCAAAACGGGAGAAAATTTCAAACCAAGGTCGGGGGATCTAGACCCCAAGGGTCATGTCCCAGAGGTTGTTCCCAGGTCTACCGTGTCCGGAAATAGGTCGAGCCTCGGTCTATAGCTGCGAGGATTGCCTAATCCCAAGGTCGTCTAGGAGTCATGGAATGAGTTCGTTTATAAGAGCGCGACTCCACTTTTGTCGAAACTTTATTTCCACTAGGAAGATACTATGACTTCGGATCTGTTATCTTTCTGTGCTGTTCTCTGCCAATCGTTCGTCCGGGAGATAAGCGTAGACCAAATGGGGAACAAAACCACGACCATCTGGTCTCGATCATTTGTGGGGATATATCCCAGATCATGTGCTCCTTCGTCCCTAGTACCCAAAATTTTGGAAGTGTAGCCCCAGTCCCAGGAGGACCATTTGGTCGCCAGCTATAGATTACCTCTGCTCCGTGTCCCATCTGCCCTCCGTGCGGACCCGAACGCAAGAAGAGCTAGACCGTTGTGGTTCCGGTCTCCTCAGCTATCGACGTACGACCAACAACACCGACAGATGCCTCCCTCCCCTTGTCCTCTCGCGAGTCTCAAAGAGGAGAATATCTGGACCGTTGCTTCCGGGTCTCCGCAGCTATTATGTACGACTGTGCGTGGCTTTGGTGAGTTCTTCATGTATGCATCATGCCACTGGCTGGGGTATTTCGGCTCTATTACGGCCAACGGTCTTCCAAGACTAGAGAACATAGAGGATCTATGCCGAGCAGGCTCGACTCGGCTTCAGAATTGAATACAACAAAACTGTCGACCGGATTGTACGATCTCACCTAGGTTTGAGTTCGAAAGCAGTCTATATGATCCGCTTAGCATAACTTGCTTATATGGTTCGGAGGCCATGCTGCGTGTTATGCTTGAAAAATCGGACTTTGACAATGGACGACTTCTTCGGAACCCGGCGAGGGGCGCCGCCGATTAGACACTCCGATGGGGAGACATAACGAGACTCAGGATACTGTACTGTTTGTGGATGAGAAATTAGGGCATGATTTACAGAACGTTGGCTTTTTCCGACTTGTCATCAGAAGATGGTCTGGCCGTATCATAAGTCAGCAAGACTGGACTCCTGTATTCAGTCTTATTGACTATATGCCGGAAGAGTCGGTCCAGGGAGAGTGGCGGAATGAGATCTTGACTCTTGCTGCGAACTATCGATGTACACCCATGATCGAGCGGATGGAAACCCCTCAACAGATACATCTCTATGGGCAGTCATGCACATAAATAATACATTTTATCGAAAGAAGAAGCAAACAATTCACTCATTATGATGTAAAAGATCGCTCCTTGGACTATGTCCACTCTGCAAAATCCCAGAAACTGGAGTTTCCCTGCAGTGGTTCTATCTTGGCCGTCAGATAATTCGTTAAGTATCGTGCCAAGATATTTGCGGCCCCTGACTCTTTCTCAGAGATATAACGAAACATCGGCGCCAGCTTGTCAATAGAGGTGGCAGTCAAAGGGGACCTTTCCAGAGTGTTCTTAAATTTCTGGAAGGAAAGCAACTTCAAGGGTTCCCATTTATGTTTAGTTGCGTGAAGAAAGATTCGAACGTGGATGAGAAGTGTATGTAGGAGCGTGCGGCTCTCCCTTGGGTGCTTGGGTACCACGACTGCGAATGGTCCTTCGAAGCCATGGGCGTTTCCTCTTTCAATTTCGGCGACGTCTGGCGACGTCTGAGAGCTATTGTGCGAAACAGGGAGCGTCTCTGCGACTGAGTAATTCCCTGTATAGGCGTATTCGCAGTATAGGGCAAATATATCCAGGTCGATATTTCTCAGGATGATCGGCCTTTCGCCTTGTTTTCTCCCAGGAATATCTAACTCCTCTCTCAATGACTGAGGAAAACGCTCAATGGCTGCTGAATGTATTGACAACTGGACTCCCACTGAGTCCAGTACAACATACAAGGGTTGAGACCGGAAGATGCTACTTTCCGTCAGTTGCGGTTTGTCAAAGTACAGATTTCCTTGCATCACAAACTAGTCTGGCTGGTGGTCCATGCCATTCGAAGGACCCATCTCATCGCAATTCGGTGGGTGAAGCGTTCAAAAGCCGAGTGGGCTGTGCTTCTTTCTACTAAAGTAGTGATAGGTTTGCATCCATGGAAGGTTAAGGGTATAAAATGATCACTGCCTGCAGGTCAGAGTGGGCGTATTCTAAACAATCAATGAAGAACATGTAGAAGCGCATGCCTTGCACTCTCACAGATTGTATAATTCTTTATTACCTCCACAAGGGATGAAACAAGCATGGTGGGGCATTTGGCCCCTAGTTCAGTGTCACCCGCTCAGATTTAATCTTCCCGCCCCCCGACCCGCCTACCCTACTAGGCACAGTTCACGCTCCACCACTGTTCATAACCAGACATGATCAACACAAAACTTAACAGCGTAACCATCCAACAGAGAAATCAACAGAGCGATCAACTCATTATAGTGGAGACACTTTCAGGCTAGATATTGCTAGGCAAAAAATGGAGTCCTTTGTAGTGTCTATCCTCTCTCTGCTCCGACACTTGTCACTGATGAAATAAATGTGCAGTTAAGTCTCAAAAATATCTACTCGATGGTTGACCAACTTGTCAGAGGGTCGATCTACCCGTTCAATCGTTTGACATGGTCCTTCAGAACAGTGACTCTCCGCTTGGTTCAAGACTCATGGCCACATCAATGGCCATCTCGCCCTTTGCATTTCGCACCATAGGATCCAGGCCCTTTGAAAGAAGAAGCAAAAGCCTATCATACGTCCTCAGCGTTCTTTTCCCTGCCACGATATGCAGCAACGTCTGGCCCTCGGAGACTTGTGCTGTCAAGTTTGCCCCAGCCTTTTCGAAGATCCTCAGGACTTCGTCGTCGATTTTGGCGTATGGCTCATCCATGTCCTGCCATACATTCCAGCTATATCCCTGCCGATTCTGATACCGAGAGGTCTCAAATGCTGTGAAATATAAGTCGAGGGCAGATTGCCCGTCCACATTCCGAGCATTTGGATCAATGCCGCGGTCCAGAAATAGGCGACATAGGCGTCGCTGTTCGTCACCGCGCACGCCAAAGTCATCCAGCCAGCTCAGCGCCAGGTAATGCAGAGCAGTGTTAGCCTGGGAATCGCGGACCAGTGGGTTCGCGCCCGCCTCCAGAAGGTCATCTATTGCAGTCTCCAGTGCGCCAGGATGCTCCGTGTTCGGCCAGTACCTTCTGATACGGGACAAAGCAGCGATAAATGGATACACACCTGCCTTGTCAGGCTGTTGACGAGAGAGCCATAATTCTGAGCCACGTATCGGAGAGAGGAGCTGATAACAGGGGCCACATTGGAGAATAATTGATGCGTTGCCTCGAAAAGATGATGCAAGGCATTCTTCCCGTAGTTACCAGCTGCCAGTACATTTGCGCCTCTATTAACAAGGTATTCAAGTAGTGTTGGCATGTCCGGTGAGGTTGTAGTGGTTACCCCAGCAAGCTCACTAGCTTTCCAATAGCTATCGGGCTGAGAGAATGGGTTATGTTGGATTCCACAGCGGGTTTTCTCGTAGAATAAATCCCTATGTACACCGTCAATTGCAGCATCAGCGCCCAAGGCACTCCGACAAGCGGACAGGAGAAGTGTTCGGCACTGTGGGCCTCTGTGCACGAGATTGAGATTGCCGCCCAAGAAGTCGAGCATTGGCTTATGAATTCTCCTTCAAGGAGGAAGTGTATCAGGCTGCATACACCATACTTGTGTGGGAATAAGAGACGATCTGAGACCAGTGATATGTATTCAGAGAGCAGGTATTGCTCACGTTCATCTCAACGCTCCCGTTGGACGATTCCCAGGTCAAAATCCTCATCAATAGCCTTGTCATCATGTATCTCACCAGGGTAACGCGACATATAGCTGTAGAGTCTGATCGTCTGGCGAAAGAGTGCATAAGGATCTGCACCATGTTGCAGGAGTGCTGCTGCCATTCTTGTCATGTTCTTTTTCTGCACATGCGGGTCTGATTGTACACGGGAGTATGTTAAAGCAAGGTGAAGAGGATACCACTCGTCTGGATCCTTGTAGATTTTGGGGGGAAGAGAGCTGTTAGCGCCGCTGGCCCAACCCTCCTCTACTCCTGCCGTATTGGTGAGGTCCGCGTAATCTGGTCTAGTATTTGCATCAATGTCACCAGTAGCCAGCAAAATTTCAACTGTCTCTAACGCACCCGCGCATAAAGCCCCGTGACGCGCTGCTTCACAGACGTCAAAGGCATCTGGCTTATGCCCCTGCGACAGAAGCTCGCGCACACGGTCGGGATTCTTGACAGCCCGAGCGATTTCCCAGTCCTTTCCCTCGAGGTCCATGGTAAGAATTATTGTTGCAAGCATCCTTGAGCACTGCAGTGTCATTTATTGAACAGACTGCGCCGTGGTAGAGTCGGGAGAAAGATCGAGTGCTCTTCATGAGCGGAGAATTTGATCTTGAAGGGGGCGGTAGGAGGTTTCAGAAACTCCGTTATAATTACTGAGGACGCCTAGTTATTATTATATTCCATTATGGGATCTATAGCCCGGAGCTTAAGCTGCAAATGGGCAATCCAACTCCGCCACCACTATTGATTTCGCTGATCGCTAACGAAAACCAGGGGCCAGACGCACTCTGTATTCCCATTGTGAGGATGGGAAAAATGCGGACGATCCGAAGATCGAGGAGCAGTGAGGTCTTGTACAGACTACGTGCTAGCCTAGTCAGAGAGTAATGCAATATATTCACAATGATATACCCTCATGCTATTTCTTCCTTGTGTTCACTCTGAGAATTGCGGGGATAGCTGTGTCTGTGGTCTGACCGCAATCCTGTTATCATGTGATGTAGCTTCATCACATCCATACAAAATGGCACTTAAAATGTCTCAACACGTTGCTCCCTAATTATAGAAGGGCGACAGTACGTTGTCACGTGCTATTTGGCATCAAGGAGCAAAATCATGTGCACAATCTCGTAAGTTTCCGTGTTTGATCACATGCCCAGGGCCATGCTAACGCTTCGGATTACTGAACATCAGAGATCACTGGCTAACCCCTTAAGCTCTTTTTACTTAGGTTTCCCTTGCCCGATGATATCTACGCATGAACCCCGCACGGTCGACCCACGGACGGAATGAGCTTACCCGCATAGCCAATCTGGGTTCCACTGAACACGATGAATCTTCGGCACGAGAGAATTTAGTTTGTGTCCTCGAAACGATTGGACCCGCTTGGCTGACAGGTCAAGACAGCGTGCTATCACCCCGTTTTTTCTGAATGAGGCCTGCGAAGCGTACGTTGACCCTACATGGCGCTTGAATTGGTGAACAGTCATTGAGTCAGGATCATATAGTTGGTTTAGTCTGATGCCAGATTAGCCAGCTTCTCTTGTGGCATAAGCCGATAAGTATTGCTTTATTTTATGTGATTTGTCGTTTTATTGCAAAGCTTATAACAATCTGATGTTAAGTGGCAGTGCATAAGCGGGATTTCAGCTGAGATGAGGGGTAAGCGGGATCATTCCATATGGAGAACAAGTACATTAGCTGTGCATTACTAGTGTCTTTGGTATCTCTCGCGGGGATATTTTCCCGAAAATTCCCCATTCTCCTTTCTCTACTTTGAATAATCGCTGACAGACTCAGTACTGCGTCGCTCATTCTGCCACAAAAAATCGACCGCAAGTACCCAAGTTCTTACATTATATGCCTATTGAGAGATGCTAGGGCGCATCAAGAGCAAGCTCTCCATCGACAGACGCCGACAGGCTGCTCGAGGAGTTCCCGTTAGTGATAGAAACGAATTGCCTTTTTTGCTTTTCTTTTTTATTCCCTTCTACGATACTAACGTTCTGTTTGAAAACCAAGCCCAAACCGGACAATGGTGGAGCCTCATCCGCCGCAGGCCCCGGAAAGCAAGGTACCTCGGTAGAGACTGTCGAGAAGTCACCCCCTACGCAGTCGTATCCTTCTGCAAGGGACCTATGGCTGGATGCTCTCAAACAGCTGCCTGAGGCCAAGCAGGAAAAGCTGAAGTGTATGGGATTTGGTCTAAATTCCGGATCTGTTGAAGCTAGTATCTATGATCTAGTGGGCGAGGTCAACAAGAAGCAAGAACAGTGCGAACAAAAGTTCTGGCGTGTATCTATTGGGGATCATGACTTTGTCCTTCGAAACTATACAACAAAAATTGTCGGTTGGCTGCAGAAGGCTGGTGATATTGCCGTACAATTCGCGCCGCCCCAGGCTAGTGTCCCTTGGACAGTCCTTAAATCCGTCATGCAGGTGAGTGTACTGAATTTGCCCTAAAACCATCCCAAGGGTAATGCTCACAGTGAATTTTAGATCCCCGTGATCGATGGTGAACAGATGGCGGCGTTGCTTGCGACCACCGAGAAGGTTGTTCGCATTGTCAGTCGTGGCCAGGTGTATGAGCAAGTCTACCTGATAGACACATCCGGCACACCCGAAGATAAGCTATCAAAGAGTCTCCAGAATGCTCTAGTGAAGATTTACAGTACCTCGTTGGAACTTTTGGCAGATTCGGCAGACCTTTTCTCTACGAACACAGCTAGGCGCACGCTTAAAGCAATTTTGAATCCGGGCCACATTTCTGGTGGACTGTCAGCCCTTGCTGAACAAGAAGATGAGCTTATCCGCGATGTCCAGGCATGCGAGAGTAGACGCAGTGCGCAGGCCGATGATCGGATGGTTGGAATGCTAGATCGCTTAAACGCGCCATTGACCCGTGTGGACGAGAACGTTCAAAGTCTTCTTGGACAGATAAGCCAATCTCATCGTACCATATTGTTAGAATGGATTTCGCCGATAAAGTTTGGCGAGCATCACTATAACGTGAAAGAGAAAAGAACGCCCGGCACGGGTGAGTGGCTGTTGCAAAATGAGAGGTTCCGTGATTGGGAGAAAACCTGTTCATCCGGTATTTTCTGGCTTCAAGGTTCTCGTAAGTTGCCAACTATGTCTGCTTCTCCCTTGCTGTTGTTCTAACCTAGGCTAGCTGGTACYGGCAAGACATACCTCACATCGAGGGTCATCGATCTTGTTCAGGACATGCTCAACGACCTCCCAAAGGATGAGGGCTTTGCATTCTTCTACTGTGACAAGACCGAASCAARTCGTGGGCAGGCAAAGGCTATTTTCCAAAGCTATGTGCGCCAGCTTTCTACCCCCGCAAGCAATCCCGAATCTATTCAGACTCRACTTAAGGAGATGTGCCAGAAAGCTCGAGATGCCGGGTCAACTCTCAGATTTGACGCATGCAAGAAGCAGATCTTAGAGTCCTTGAATCTCTACTCGAAGACTACGCTAGTTCTTGATGCCTTAGATGAATGCGACCCGGAATCGCGCGAAGAATTGATTGATGCGCTGAAATCTCTCCTACTTGAGTCTAAGAATACCGTCAAGGTATTTATCTCAAGCCGGCCTGATCCAGACATCCAAAGCMAATTGGAAGGGTGTACCAGCGTAWGTATCGAAGCAAGCGACAATCAAACCGATATCCAAAATTTCCTTGAAAAAGAACTGGAAAAGCTTGCAAAAACGACCGCGTGTATTAGACGCTTGAAAACCAATATTGTGGATAAACTGCTTGAGCGTTGTCAGGGGATGTTCCAGTGGGCAGCKCTGCAGATCCACCAGATTCGCACATGTAAAACTGAAAATAGTATCTGGAAACGCCTTGACACTCTTCCAGATGGCCTCCAGGAAGCATACGACGAGGTCTGGAGCGAGATCGAAAAATTGGAGGAGCCGGACCAGTCCCTCACGAAACGCGCCCTTTTATGGGCAATGTGTGCATGCAAGCCAATGACCAGCGATGAGCTCCTATGTGCTATTCGTGTGAAGCCAACGAGAGAGCTGCTCCTGTTAGACGACGAAATTGACGAGCAAGGCTTGCTGTCACTTTGTAAAAATCTCCTTGTCATTGACTCCCAGTTGAATGTGTGGCGGTTTGCACATCTATCGGTTCGTGAATACCTCGAAAACAAGGTGAAATGGACCATTGAAGGGGCACATTTTCACGCTGCCAAGGTTTCGCTGTTGGTCCTCAACGACACCTTTAAGAAAATTGATCCTGACGTTGTATCAGACCCATCAGGTCAGTCCACGGAACCCGGCAACTTTTTCAATCTCGATCACCCATTTCAGATATACACAAGGCATCATTGGGTTCTCCATGTCCAAGGGGTACGCGATATTGAGCAGGTCATGCTAGCGCCACTTCTGAAGACTTTCCTCGGGACCCCTGAAGATAGCAGCCTACAGTATCGGAGATGGCACCGTCAGATTGATGCATATGATAGACCGATGCCGTCAACATCTGTGCTCCAGAGGGGGCTCCAGTCATCCTGGGAGATTGCCCCGGAAAACTTCGCCATCTTCGGGATGTGTTACTTCTCATTCGATATCATTCTGTGGGACTGGTGGGAACGCAAAGACATCCCATTCTCACTTGTGAACAGACGATGCGACAACCTCCTTGCAATTGCCGCTGCGGCTGGTTCCAAACCAATATGCAAGAACCTAGTGGAAAGAGGTTTAGAAGTGGATTTGCAGCTGCCAGGTTCCGAGTATGGCAGCGCCCTCGCCGCAGCAGCTAGAATGGGACAACTTGAGATTGTCAAGTTCCTTGTTATGGAAGCAGGGGCTGATGTCCACATGCGACTTGAACATGGAGACTATGGCAGTGCTCTCGCTGCAGCATCGACGCAAGATAT